TCTTTGCAGTATCTTTATCCTTTTCTTAATATTTGCTTTCCTTGTCTAGTTAGTTTCATTTACGATGAAGAGATGGCGCTAGTTGTTCAATTTTTACTATATTTCTGTCTTTCTCCTATTATTTGCTCTTTTTATCTATATTTTTGCGTTTTATATTTCATATATATTTTTGTTTTTTCATATTTATAATGCTAATACTGTTTTTAGCGCATGATCACAGATGAAATATAGGATTTCAATTCAACATACTTCCGTCATTTTAAAACTCTTTCAAAACTGCGATATATTTTAATTTTGAATATAAAAAATATAAATAAAAAAATTTAAATAAAATCGGAAGTCTGACCTAATAAAAGGATTAAGAAATAATTTTATAAAATTGATTTTATCGAAAAACGATATTATGTAATATAATATAATAATAATAAAAATATAATAACATGGACTGTTTCATAATAATTAATATATATAATTATGTATAAAATATGATATTTTATATACATATAAATATTCAGTAATGGAATATTTATTTTTTTTTATTTATAATTTTATTTCTTTGTTGAGAATATTAAAATTAATATTAAAATTCTAGTTTTCGAAAAAAAATGTATGAATATTAAATCTATTCTATACTTTGTCTGTGATATCATATATATAATATATCTTGCGTGTTTAAACTATGTAAGAAATATTGATCGATTCAATTCAATGTCAAAGTCACGTATCTTGAAAAGAATCTTCCGGTTACTGGTATTTCTTAAGTATTCTACATATTCTTACTCATTTTAGTCTCATTCTTAAGAGAAGAAAGTAATTTAATACCAAAAATAAAATTGAAGAATAAAAACAAACATAATTTATCTCTTTCACTTATAATTTTGATAGAAAAAGTTTTTTTTTTGATTAAAAATATTATTATAAAGTTATATTAAAATATATTCAAAATAAAAAAGAAGATAAAAATATATTGACTGGAATACAAGTTCCAAGAAAAAGAAATATTGCAAAACAACTCAATATTTTTCTTATAATTTTTAAACAAGTTTGTTATTCTATTATCGAAAAAAAAAAATATCAATTATTAAACGAAGGAAAGGAAATTTTATTTAATTTCTAACAAATAAAGTTTTCATCACGAAACGATAAAACACAATTTTTAAAACTTTTACATGAAAAAAATAAATTTTTTTCCATATTAAAAAATACTTATTTACATTTCGTAACTATATTTTAAAAATCTTTATAGAAACTTATAAAAAGATAATACACATACATATACATATATTTACCTCCTTGGTAGCAAAGGTAGTGTGCTACCGAAAAGCCAAAGCTTCCTATCTTGGAGCCATTTGTCCATGCGAAAGCTTCTCAAAGAAATCTCGTCTGTTCCATGGAATATTCAAGATACATTGTCGTCGATCTGATTCTTATTGTTGGCATTATTGACAAAAACACTGTATGGCACTGTATGGTATGTTTCACCAGTAAACCGAACCGATTAAACGTTCAACTACCATTTGTTTAACTACGTCACTATGCCTGATCGATAATTCCTACGAGTTGCTAGTTGAATCTGTTATAACTACTTTACTTATGTTTATCTATTTGTTTATTATATGACATCATAATAATGATACTTGAACGCGATATTTCCATTTGTATAAAAACTGAAGTATATTCGAGAAGAATTTTTACTTGATAACTGTTATTTACTACGATATTATCTTATGATTTTCATTTAATATAATTATTTTCGAATTATTATAAATTAATGTTAATTTCTTGTGAATGCAGTGAATATACAGTGGATATGTATAGTTGTTTTAAAATAGTGATTCAGTTTTAATAATATAACGAATAGAAATTAAAGTATTGTTTGCATTGATAGAAAATTTGATATAATACTGAAACTGAAAAAAAAAAGAAAATAGACGTGAAAAAGACTTAATAATAAGTAGAGACTTAGTAATAAGTAATAATAAAAAAAATAAGTAATTTCCTATAATTTTTTATAAATATTGTTTAAAAAAAATATAAGAATTATTCTTTTAACTTGCAAGCTTGTTATGATTAACATAATAACATTTGAATATATTAAATTAGGTTCAATATAATCTGGATAATATGATTCAAGGTTTTTTATTTTACACAGAATTACATATTAGCTTTTTTTACATAAATATACACAACATTTATGCATTGTGATCCTTGTTTTTGCAAGAACATAATATATTTTATTATATACATGGTTAAATTTGTGTTTTTTTAAAATTTAATTTATAAATAGAATTTATCGATACTCAAATAAGATTAAAAGATTTTTAATGAATCAGATCAAATTAGATTATTTAACAAAAGATTATTTCTTTTATCTGATTTTATAATTAAATCAATTAAATACAATTTATATATCATAAAATTCAGATTTCATACATAAAATACATTTTGATTCATTTTACAATTTTACATTTTTATAATATAATATAATTTAATATTTTTACAATGACATTAATTTGTACAGAATATATTTTTCCCGTACACGTGAACAGTTTCCTCTGGCAGTTTTTACTCATAAAATTAGTAATATATGGGGAATCATTGCTTTGTCGTGAAATTAATTTATACAATTAATATGTAGAAAACATATTATACATTTTTAATATGTAAAAAATCCCAGGTGTAAAACAATTGCATCTATGAAATATGATTGATAGAAGATATAAAAGTATAGAAACATTTTTGATATTGAATAGCCAAATAGAAAATCGTAGCCGGAATTGCTAAAATGGAAAGATATAGGAAATGTGATTTGAAGACTTTCTAAACACTTTTGGCATTTCTTTGGACACCAACCGACGATTTAGGCTTTTCAGTTTCTTGTTGTGCTTCTCCTCTGACAGTAAACGTTACATAATATTTTTTGGAACGATCTAGTCTTTCAGCTGGAAGAGCTATTATCTGTTTTTCTTCTCCATGCGTTACCTCTACCTGTAATCAAAATAAAAATTATATAGATATATATTTTTGGAACACGAAATTAATTATATTATTAATATAATTAATTATATTATTACATTACACTTTTGAGTAAATAAATACTTTAAAAATTTTATTTTATATTTATATTTAAATTCATTCATATGTAAATAATTTTATTTTACCGTCATCTGTCCCTTTCCACGACTCTCTATCTTCGGAAGAAGATCCGTTTGTTCTTGGCCGCCTCCACCTACTGCAATTATAATCTACAATCACAATAGGGAAACTGATTCCTTTTGAAAGTCTTTTGGATTGAATTTTTTTATTCAGAATACCATTTCATAATTTTTATTCATTAAACTTTTTTGACTTTTATTTTCATTCAATATAGACACATATTGTTAACAATTTCTTATGAAAAATTTGTCCATATCATTTTTTAATATTTCTCAATTTAATACCATCGCTATATCTTTGGTAAAATAAATTCAATTTTCAATTTCAAAAAATTTACGTATAAACAAGTGAAATGGAATTCTGAAACTTACTTTCTATACAGCAATGCACTGTAATAACATACGATATGTGTACACAGGGAAGGAGGTGTAAGCGCTTGTAGCGTGATGACAGCGATGAGTTTTTTGGGTGCATTGTTTCGCTTCCGTGCAGAAATCTGGGGTTGCTGGCCTTTTCTGAAGTTTCCTGAGTTGATCGTACAAGAAAGCCTCAAAATGTCTAGTAAGAAATATTAATTATTTTCTTTTCTAGCAAGAAATATTTTTCAAAACTTAAAAAATAATAACCTGAATGTTAAAGGTTGATCGTATTTCGCCACGCCAAGCGTTGGACCAGACATTCCCGCTTTATGGAAGGCATCCACCTAAAGAAAATTATGTTATTATAACATAATTAATACAGTCAAGTAATAGATAAATAATATAATTATATTTTATAATATTATTTTCCAATATTGTTACTTGTCTTTTAATCAAAACTTGTTCGTTAGCTTTGCCATGACGTATTTGCAATCTTTTCAATTCCATCAATTGAAAAAATATCTTCCTTTCTAGATGATATCGTCGTAGAGTGATCTGTACATCCCTGGTTACGGTCTCCATGTTAAGAGTTTGCTGCTTATCGGTGTTCGGGCAGCATTTCATAATCCTTCTTCTTGGTATCCTTGATACTCGAGGACTAGGTTCTATACCGCTATCTCTGCCACCGCTGTCGCGACGTTGTTTCCCCTGCAATCGATTGCTTCTACTTTCCTGAGGACTTTGAACTCGTGTCAGACGAGTTCGTGTACTAGATACCTAGGTAAGAAGAATATTATTTAAACAATAATTTGGAAACAAATGATATGAATATCTCATTATCACATTATATAAACGTAAGTACATATACATATATATATTATTCGTACATATATAGCAAAATTTGTGTAAATACAATAATACAAAAATATTAATTTCACAAATAATATAGGAAAGCAAAAAAAATATAAGATTTTTTCTAATCTATTATCTTAAACCTTTCGTCTTCATATCATTCTTAAAATTTCTACTCACTTGAGGTAACGAGTCAGTCACCGAAGTTCTGCAAACTTCGTGGCCAATTCGAGACGTCTCTTCCTCGCTCGTACTTGGCAGCACCCTCACGACACCCATTTCATTATCGTCATCAGGTTCCGTCTCGTGTTCCGCGTCCTCACCGATAGCATCCCTGATCTCCTTGTCGATCTCCTCTTCGTCCTCTTCGTCCCATTCCGGACTCTCGATCACCGCAACTATGGCGCTCCTGTCTGGAGAACGCTCTTCTGAACTTTCGAACAAACATTTTCTCACCGACGATCGCCCAGCTTTCCTAATTTTTCCCGTCGACGGTCTCGAGCGTCTATGCGACGATTTCGGAGAGCTCGAGGAACTTTCATCAATATATCGAAAGCTCTCTTCTTCTAAAACCATGTGAAACAACATAAAGACACTCGTGCACCGATTTTAATACTCACCTGTCGCCAGATCGTCCTGGCCAGAATGTTTCTTCACTTTCTTAGCCTCATCTTCCTCCTTTTCAACTTCCAAATTAGATTTCGTCGGAGACAAATCTCGAACGGTTTCTCCCTCGTCAGACATCTTTCTTTTCATGGCAGTCGATGTGTCCGTGCTTAACGACTTATCCTCAGAATCTTCCACTAACGCAGAGTCTTTGGACGATGAAAACTCGACCGATTTTCTACGAATTTGTCCCTTTCGATCCGGTGATCCTTTAATTGACGTTTTTATCAACGTGCTCGACGTTTCTTTCGTTTGTACGTTCGTTTCCTCCGTTTTTTTCCTCACCTCTGACGTTTCTTTTGCAACTTCTTTGTCCATTTTTTCTGTAATTTTCATGGAAACTTTTTTAACGGAGGATTCGCGTTTTTTCGTGGATTCTTTCCTTCTGTGGGTTCCTCCACTCTTTTTAGGACTTTCGTCCGACTTCGAAGAAGAGGATTTCGATCTTCTGTCATCGAACGATGGTCTCCTTTTTACGGTTCCAGATTTGGTTTTAGATTTACTTTTGACTTCCTCCCGTGTCGACTTTTTCTCTTCCTCTTCCGACAGCGAAACATCTTCCACAGCTGTTCTCGGCGTGGTCTCCTTTCGTACATCCTTTTGACTGACTGGACTCTCAGATTTGCTCGTCTTGTCGGATTTTTCGTGATCTTTTTCCAAAACGTGTTCAGATACATCCGTTTTCTCACTAGTTTCTTTATCTAGATTCTCGCCAGATTTTCCTTCTGATGACGTTCCATCGGATTTGGAAACGAACTCGCTTTCTTGTTCACGTTCATGCTGCTTCTGAGAATCCAATGCAGGATTTTCAGATTCTGTCGTCTCGTGTGCGTCTAACCTGCCTGGAAAGAGGTCTCTGCAGAAAATTGACAGAAAACATTCTTTAATGTAAGGTAGACGTGCATAATTTCGCCAGTGTTTAATAGATCAAGAATTATTGCTATGTGACAATTTTACAATCTTTTGTTTTTATCTCAGATTAATTAAAAAGTATTTTAAAGCTTGTATTGTAATTTATATTCCAGATGCTAGAAGATAATCATTTAATTTTTGAGAAGTTAAATATATTTTGATATTTCTCAGAAAATGATATCAATCACTTCATTAAATGAATATTTAGAAATGCTATAAAAATTAACATCGCGAAATTATGTATATCTACCTCAATGTATATCAAAATTTTAAATTCTCTATTTAAATTATTCACTAATTATTTCGTTTAAAGTTTTACCTTTTTCACTTTCATCTTCCTCTTGATTTTCTTCGATTAAAGAGGTTTCAATTTTTTCCTCATCTTTCAAACCTTCTTTATCTAATTTTACATCTTCTTTAATCACATTTCGAACAATGCCCTTTTCATCTTCCTTTTTCCCCTCTTGGCTTTGCTTCGAGTCCTCCTGTTGGATCTTCTCCTGCGCGCCTTGCTGTCTCATTTCTTCCACATCCTTCTTCAAATTGGCAGCCTTTTGCACGAGATTATTGCGCGATTCATCGCTCTGCTCTAAAATATCATCGACTTTGCTCGAACCAGCTTCCCTCGACACGTCCTCCATCTCGATCACCTCCGTTCTTAATCTATCGTCAAACGTGACTTCCTTCGACGTTTCGGCCACGGATTTTGGCGTATCTGGGCCTTGATCTTTGTGGACCATCGCTGTCACGACGACACGTTCAACTGTTTCTTGGCTAGTGCTATCGGTTACGTCCCTTCGATATCGACATTCAATAATATTCTCCCCATTATTCTCTTTATCTTCATCTATCGATGTTCTAGGAGTTTGTCGACTGTGAACCGTGGCCTCTTTCGATTTTTGCTCTTTTTCGAACGAGTGCATCCTATCTGTTGTACTCTCACCGTTATCAGACGCTCTTGACCTGTTGGATTTCAATCTTCTTCTGGTGCTTGTATGAGTCTTCGTCAACTTCATCTCTTTCGAACTTTCCCTCGGCGTCTTTGATCTCCTTCCAGATATCACCTTCTCGCATTTCTTCTCCAAAGATTTTCGTACCACCACCACCTCTAGGCTGTCGTCACTCACGCTTTCATCATCCTCGTCCCCTTTCAAGTTTTCTCGGTTCTCCGTTCCGTTACTCTTATCCAGTTTATTCTCTTCCTTTCGAGAATCAAATTTCTTTTTCGAACCGTCCTCTGATTCTATAGAAGATTCGCTCGAATCGTGTCTAGATTTTGTCGATCGTTTCTTACTTCTTTTTCTTCTCAATTTTCGATCAGTATCTTCCTCCTCGTATCTGCAATATTTTCTCAGTTACTTATTCGATTTATATCTCTAAAGATATTTAATGAAATAATGAAAGTGAATGAAAGTGTAAAAAAAGAATGAAATAATGAAAGTGAATCAAAAAATGAATTATAATCATAGATTATAGATAAAATGGTATATGAAGAAATTCTTTTCATAAAATTTAAAATTTTAATTTCATTGATATTTAAATTTTAGATGTGATCACCGTGCTGATTCGCTACGAGTTCTTCTTTGATGATCTTTTTTCGAGGATCGAACTTCCTCTTCGCTGAAACTCCGGCTATCCTGACGTGCCAATTTCCTCAAATTTCCTCTTCGTCGTGTTCTCTTCTCAATCCACTGCTCCTCATAGTACAATTCTGGAAGTTTATAACTGCGACTTCGTCTATGAGGGCTGCTTTCTGTGTCGGTACTGCTATCCACATGTCTCATTCGTAATTTCTGTGCAAACACTGAAATTATTTCGATAGATATTAAAAATTATGATGAATTTTTATTATATAATATAAAGAATTATTTTATTATATTATTTTTATTCATCACTTATTAGTAATTCTAATTCTATCTAAATTTCTTTTTCCAAATATAAAAATAAAAAATAGTATAAACGAGATAGATTTAATATCATATATTATTTCATTATATAGTTTCATTATTTTATAAATGACGCATAATATATCAATTTCAAAATACTTTATATTTAATTTTATTGAATAACACATTTATAAAATTAACTATTTATAAAAAATAAGTAATGAAAAATGGGGATTTAAATTCAAAAGATTTACTTCCCTGTCATTCTCCATTAAACTATAGGTTTTAAAGAAATTTTTGTGAATATGTATATACCTAACCTGACCTTTATTCGGTACAGTTTTCTGCATCCTCAGTTTCTGTGCCGTGGTACCACCGTGCATTTGGATCAATTTCGCGCAGTCCCTGTGTCCTCTGTAAAGTGCCGCGTCCAGGGCTGTCATCAAATTGCCTTTGCTTGTTCGAAGCAGGGCATTGATTCGCGCTCCATTGTCCAGAAGGACCTTGCACACGTCCAAATGTCCATGGAGAGCTGCCACGTGCAACGGTGTTTTGCCATC